GGATCGGGCCGCGGGGGCCGGCTCCGGGCTCCCCGGCCTGCGGCGGCGGCGAGGTGGCGGGTGCCACATGGCAGCGCGGGAGAGGACGGCGGCGGTGTCCGGCGCGCGGACAGACGTGTCCGGCGCGCGGAGATGATTTTTTTAGGGTTAGGAGGGAAAGGATCCATGAATTTGGAATGGGGGGTGTATATATAGGCATAGAGGGAGCTAGGAGAGTCCAAATGAGGTGCGGTTTTCGGCCACGCGATCGTGATCGAACGCTCTAGGTGATGGAGCAGAGTTTGGTGGGTTTTGGACCAAATTGGAGGGGTGTTGGGCTGCAACACACACGAGGCCTTTTCGATCCCTCGGTTAACCGTTGGAGTATCAAACGAAGTCCAAATGATACGAAACTTGAAGGCGGTCTACCGGTAGTAAACCAAGGCCGCTTGGCAAGTCTCGGTCCAATCCAGAAATGTTTAATCCCCACACACGAAAGAAAGCTAGAAATGACCACCGGAGGAGAACGAAGCGCCGGAATGCAAAACGGACAACGGGGAAAATGCTCGAATGCATGAGATGAACACGCATGCAAATGCAATGCACATGATGACATGATATGAGATGCATGACAACGACAACAACACACGGAGACAAAAACCCGAACCTGAGAAAATAAATATAACTTAACGCCGGAAACGGCAAGAGTTGGAGTACAAATTGAGAAAGTTATATCCGGGGTGTTACACCAGGTCCCGTTTCTTTTGGGAAGGATCAGGACCCAAACGCAAGTACCACATGGTAAGGTGGGACGCGGTTTGCCGGCCCAAAGCCCAGGGAGGGCTAGGGATCACAAATACTAGAATCCTTAACATCGCGCTGATGTGTAAGTGGATTTGGAAACTCTCGCAGGGGGCGACGGGTCTGTGGGTAGACCTGTTGCGGGCAAAGTATTTCCCTTCTGGGAATTTTTTCGAAGGAGTGGCGAGGGGATCTCCCTTCTGGAACGACCTGCAAGCGGTCCGGCCGGCTTTCGCCATGGGGGCCAAGTTCGGTATCGGCAATGGGCGTTCGTCCCGGTTTTGGTTAGATCATTGGGTAGGAACCAAGCCATTATGGCAAGACTTCCAGGACCTATACAGCCTGGCGGTCAATCTGGAGCAGCATGTTGCTACGGCACTTGCCTCCTCCCCTCCTGCGCTCTTCTTCAAACGGGAACTAACGGGAACTGAGCAAGCTCACCTCACGGTTTTGCTTGATCTTATAGCGCCGGTCGCGCTTTCCCCACACGAGGACACAGTAACGTGGTCTCTCACCTCATCCGGCAAGTTTTCCGTCAAGTCGTTGTACCGGAAACTGTGTCTGGGCCAGTCCCCCCTAGTGCCGAAAGGCTTAAGGAATGCGCGTCTTCCACTTAAAATTAAGGTGTTTTTTTGGCAAATGTTGCGCAACAGATTGCCTACCTTGGCTAATGTTGCCAAACGCGTTGGCCTGTCGTCCGGCCTATGCGCAATCTGCAACGTCCAGGAAGACGCGAACCATGTGGTCTTTCGTTGTCCCTTAGCGCGCTTTGCGTGGGCTGCGGTCCGTACCGCAGCCAACTCCGCATGGAACCCGAGCTCGATCGCCGACCTCGTGGCCATTATGGACTCGGTCCAAGGGGGCAACAAACGCGTCCTTTGGAGCTGTGTGGGCGCGCTGGCCTGGGCCCTCTGGCTCACGCGGAACAAACTCGCGATCGAGGGAATCTTCCCATCTCACCCTGCTAATATCATCTACAAATGCAATCTTTTCTTGCAGCAATGGAGTCCGTTGGTGAGGCGCAAGGATGCTGACAAACTCCAACACGCACAAGAACGTCTCCGCCAAGTCTACCTAATGGCTAGGGAGCCACCCGCCTCTTCTTCGTCTTGAAGTGGCCCTTTTGGATGACGCACGAGCGAGCCTGCGTGCTCTAAGCGCAGGCTACGAGCCTTGTATTCGCCTATACTTGCTCTGTGCTACTTTTGGCCTGTCCGATAACTCTTCAGACTTTGCGTTTCCATTTGGCCGGAGCCTCTGTGCTCGTGTTTGTAATCTCAGACCCTGTCAGTTACGCTGCCTAGTTTGTGGGCTTTATTAATTTAAAGCCGGACGCGCCCAGCGTCTTCGTTCTAAAAAAAAGGAGTATGTTAACATACTAAAAGACATGGGATTCAGTTTTGCGAAAAAGCATTTCTGGAGAGAAATTAATTCTGACTTCTGGTTTCTGGCAGACTGATTAACGTTTCTTATTCTGAATTGGAATTCTCCTGTGAACCATTTGGTAAGGATTTTCCAATTTCTCTCCAGGAAACATTTCATGTTTGGTAGGAATTCTCCTGTTTCTGTTGAATCCCTACCAAACGCACCTCTAATAATCATAAGCAACTTTCAGTAGATCCAAGTCTTAATGAATCACTAATCCTCGGACAGAGAGAAAGACAAAGTTGGTGGGAGACAGAGAGTGCTGTGCAGAAGATATATGTTAACAAAAGATCGCCGCCTGAAAAGTTGTACTAGCTGGACGAAGCCAGCACCATGTTAAACTCATAATCTGTGCAAACCAACCTCATTGACCCCAAGACAAACACCCAGCTCCACAAGAGCAAAACACACACACACACACACACACACACACACACACACCTCCCCATTCATCTCCCTCCATGGAGCCAGGATCCAAACAAGATGGAGCTGTGAACATGACGAGGGCAATGGAGGCTTTGTCCCCTTGGTTGAACAACCCAAGGAGGACTATCGTCCAGGTTGAAGTTCTGGTGGTAGCAGCCGCTGTTCTGCTGCTTCTCCAGCTCATCCTGGGCTCCTGCAAGCGGCGGTGGCATCATTCCTTCGTCAAAGGTGGCCTGAGCGTGTGTAGAACACTTATGTTCCCTCTTGTCCTCTACACCCTGGGTATGATGCAGTCCTTCCCAATCAAGAATTCCATGTATCCGTCTGGGCTGTTGTTCTCATCAGGGCTTCTGTGGGCACAACAGGCGTCGAGCAATATGATTTCTATGGCAACTTTAACAAAAGGTACATGCAGGCTCTTGTTGAGTTCTGTAAATATGGGTTCTATATACTCACGATGGGTATGCTAGTAACCCCAAGTGCAACTCTAACTCAAAGCTTCGTAGAGTCGGGTAGCAGTGCAAGTTCCAATTGTGTCAGCTATCTTTCTGTGGCCGTTTTACTTGCATCATTTTTCGAATCCATAGGGTTAACAATTTTGGGATACTTGAAGATCCAACGTCACATAATAGGTGCAGAGAGGATGGAGGAACAGGCAAATGATCATCAGTGTGATTCTAACCCTGAAAGCATGAAGGGCTATAAGCACGTAGTCTTGCAGCGCCCCATTTGTATCATTGACCATTTGGTGAGGAAGCAGGGTCGATCCATTACCATTGAACAGATATGGGATTGTTGTGGCAACTCAGCTGACAGCAAAGCACTGAAAGACTTATGTCTGTCCTTTGTCTTGTATCAGCAGCTCTTGGAATGGCGCTACTTCGGGCAAGTCTGTCCCGAAGCCAGCCTTCTGAAAGCCAATGATCTTGTCTTCAAAAAATTGTTGCTATCTGAAGGGGATTTCAAAAGAGCATTCAGTATTATTGAGGCAGAGTTGGGTTTTTGCTACGATTTCTTCTTCACAAAGTATCAGTATACCTTTCTATCGATGGAATCACTGGTACCACTCATTCCATTTTTGGTTTTGCTCAAGATAATTCTCATTTTAACAGTTGGAGTGTTTGCCTTCGGAAAATCACTGGTTCTTGAGACACCACGTCCTATCATAGAGGTGCGCGGTACAGAAACTGATTACATCATTACTCTACTAGTTCTTGGTATAGTTCTCGTAATGGAACTGGCGCAAGCAGCATTTTATCTGGCTTCAGATTGGGTCCAGGTATCACTAGCCTGCAGGCATGTCAAGAAAAATTGCAATGCAGCCAATGCATTTATTGGAAGAGTTATTGGTTTTCTTAGAAGGATTATTATTTCTGGGGCGTTGAGAGACAAGATTGGCCAGTACTCAGTTATTCGGATGGAACGCATAGGCCCAGCAGAGGTTTCTGATGCAGTGAAAGGAGCTATTGCTAGGTCGCTCATAAGATCTAATGGCAACCTAACCAATGGCGAAACATTAATAAGGAATAATCAAAGGTTTGAGAAGTGTTATTGGGCATTCAAGAATCACTCTCAGCTGGAAGTCATGTTCATTTGGCATATTGCAACTGAATACTGTGATATTTCTGATGATCAGACAAATGGGATCACTCCAGATAATGACCGTGGTGTTGCAGTTTGTTTGTCTAAATACTGTGCATACTTGATTGGGTCTGTCCCAGAACTGCTTCCGTACCACGAGGTGGATATAAGGGAGTTGACAACAAAGGTGGCAAAAGAACGTAAGCAGCTTTTTGGATCCTACAAAGATTCTGAGGTTTATGATAAAATGAAGAAATTAGATGGGACAGAAGAGGGAGATGACCCTGCGACGGTCTTCAAGAAAGGCGTGAAGCTCGGCAAGCAGCTCGCGAGCATGACGGATGTGCTTGAGCGCTGGAAGATGATGGAAGATTTCTGGGCCCAGACAATCCTCTATGTCGCGCCCGCGCACTCCACCGCCAAGCAACACATGCAACATCTTGAGAATGGCGGGGAGTTCCTCACCCACATCTGGGCTCTGCTTTCTCATGCTGGCATCCTGAATCTTAACAGTGACAAGGATCAGGGGGCACAGGCAGAGCCTGCATCTGTATGATTCAATGTCCACAGCGGAACAGCCTCCGTCGCCTCCCATTTGCCACAAGCTGGTTACTTTGTGATTCCACATCAGTGTTTATTCTCCAAAATGGCAGTGTTTCTGTTTCATGTGTTAGCATTTCGTATGTTTGTACTATGATGAATAATTTGATGCTATATATGTGCGTCTCCCGTGCATACCGTGGGTCTCACCGTGCTTACGTTATGTATTTCAGAGATGTATTTCCCCACACTGTACCTTATGTTCTGAGAACTGAAAAATGGCTTGGCCATCATTTGGAAAAGGAATATTTATCCAGCATGTACTACCCCTGTTTCTAAATGTAAGATGTTTTGGCTGAACTGCCCAAGCGTCTTATATTTAGGAACAGAGGGTGCAGTACATTGGCGTGCACTGGCATTCTTCTGTTTTGCAGTATGTATTTAGTCTTGGAGTTCAAGGGTCAGAAAATTCAGATTCTCACAGTAATTAGACTTCAGTGTATGTAGTACAGTACAGGCACTGCACTTACCCGAGAGCGAGTGAGTTACCGGCGTGGATCCTCCTCACCCTCCCGCTTGGTTTATTTGGGTGTCACCGGAGCGACGCCGCATGCTAGATCCGCCTCAGTCTGCGGTGGCCGCCGGCCGCTCTCCGGCTTGCCGCGCCAAAGAACGGAACGATGTTCTCAAACTCGACGGTGGAGCAAGGGAGGAGACTGCGGATGGAGCTCGCCGACCGCGGGAAGGACCGCCGCGGAGGTGAGCTCGCTCGGTTACTCCGGTGGCCGGCCTGCGATCTGGAGGTCGGGAAGACAGGGGAGGCGGAGGAGGACGAAAGCCCGCTGCGACATACCTACCCATTGCTGTTACATGGGCTCAACCAAGTGCAACTAATAAGTGGGCTAAAGAGATGTGGCCCAATCATGTATCGCAACCTCTCTTTTTTTTTGCGGGAATTTTATTCCAAGATTATAGAGTTACAGTAAAGAGGCAAGAGATCCTCGATGCACGAGGGCCCTCTGTGTAACCAAATAATTGAGGTAGCTATAACTTGCCAAAAATCCGCTATTCTGTTTTGCTCACGATGAATTTTCCAAGGAATAAACTCTCGATCTACCGATAAAGTCTTGATCTCTCCAGAGCCAAGTGTCCATACTAAAAACGGTCCATTGAATCCTCGGCAACGACAGATAGAGCCGCCGGCGAATCCTACTGGAGAATTATAGGAAGGTCCGTATATTGTAATGCAAGGGCCATGTATTCCTGTCTTGAGAGCGTCATTGCAATGGAACAAGAATGTGAAGGCTGCAAAAATAACTCTCCCACCATGTTTTTAAAGTATCATACCTATACATGTATCGCAACCTTTTTTTTATGCGGGAATTTTATCCCAAGATTTTAGAGTTGCAGTAGCAAGAGATCCTCGATACACGAGGGCCCTTTGTCTAACCAAATAATTGCGGTACACTCAGTTCGGCTATAAATTGCAAAAAATGTTCTACTACTTTATTTTTGCTCACGAACAATTTTCTAAGGAATAAACTCTTGATCTACCAGTAAAGTCTTGATCTCCAAAGCCAAGTGTCCATACTCAAAACGGTCCAGTGAATCCTCGGCAAAAAGAGATAGAGCCACCGACTAATCCAACGGGACAATTATAGGGACGTATGTGTATTGTAATGCAAGGGTCATCCCTTGCATCAGTGCATGTATTTCTGCCTTGAGAGCGTCATTGCAATGGAACAAGAATCTGAGGCTGCAAAAATGACACTCCAACCATGTTTTTAAAGTATCATACCTATAGCTCAAGCGTCGAAAAAGAACCGCCCACTAACAAAATTGTTATGTTCGACAATGACACTGGCCGAGGCCGCACAGGTCTAGCAGGCTGGGTTTCGGCCTCACTTCCTCAAACGTCAATGGCATCTTTCCCCGAATAAACTCCTCAGACAAGTAGTTCTTAGTATTGTACAGGGACCGTGCCGTAGCTTTGTAAAAATTCTATTGAAATCTCTATCGGGACCATCTGTCAGGCGTGGCACCACGACGCACGTGGACACGCACAACATGGCGTTGCGGCCCCCGGCGGCACAAGGCGGCAGTTGGAGTGAAGCAGAGCGGCACGAGAGCACTGAACCAACATCGCCCTCTAGCGGGAAAGCCACGGCGCGGACGCGAGGCAGGTCACCGGAGCCGGCC